CCCTGGAATACACACTCCACAAGCTCCCAATCAGAATCCTTATCTTCAAGGTTCTCCTCCTCCAGACAGCTCTTCCTGAATCATCTGAAAATGTTGTCTCCTCTGATCTCTTCTTTGCCTTATATCACTGTATACCTCATATTATTCATACCTGTATAGATATCATCTTCCCTCCAATAGAATGTAAGTTCCTTGAGGGCAAGGATTATTTCACTTTATCTTTGTATCACCAATGCCTAACACAGCCTTGAGCATCATAGGTACTTAATAAATGTTGAATTGTTGACCAATTAGCTTCAAAAGCACTTTTCAGCACTGAGTAACGTATGTCACTTTAGTATGTGATGTTATTTTTAAGAACCTCTGCAACTAAGAGTCAGATAGTTTTATATAATGAGAAAGGAAGAGACTGGATCTATTTTTTTTTTAAAGTTTTATTGATGCCTTTGATTTTTAACATCACAGTAATTTCTTGGCATATATGTCTGCCCCCTCCATAGACCCCTCCCCCTTACTATAACAAAGAAAAACACTTAAGTAGAATCAACCAACACAGTGAACACTTCTACAAGCATATGCAACATTTTACATCTGTATTAGTATTAGGTGACCTAGGGATGAATGGGATAACCCAATTATGAGACTCTCAACTTGATTCAGGGAAAGGCGATTCTGGGAGTAGAAATCCAAGCTCTGTCCCCAGAGCCACAGCTGGCCACAGTACCAAATATTTCTGAAAAGATAAGATGGTTAAACTAAGTGCCATCATTTTTGCTCAGAGTGAGATGCTGATTGTGTTTAAGATCTACATCCTAACTCTTTCTCCTCACCAATCAAGCCTCACAACTGTTTTGAAAAGGTAACAAAATATTATATAGATCAAAGAATGGCCGCTTGCATACGGCACTTTTACAAATTTTTCCCCCATCCAACAAGAGTTTTAAATGTAGTTTTTTTTTCCTCTTTTGAAGGAATTTATGATAAAGGATGGTTTTAGCATTCAATTGACAGAGATGAACATTTAGGATTAGGCATTTTCCTTCTGCAAATGTTTCCTGCACCAAATATGTATGAATATCATCTTCAAGCCAACAGTCATCAAAATGCAAGAGGGAGAATGATTGGGCTTTGAATACTAATCTGAATTATGCCAATTTTGAATTGCAATCCATCCACCAAAACCTGAATAACAAGTGAGAGTACCACAACCACAATGAAGCAAATGAATCCATACATAACATTTATATGCAGGGATTTTGTCTATGTTAAGTTTCTGCCTTCAAATTGCAAGTTAAGAGAGAATATCTCCAGCTGTTCATATTTAATTGTGCATGCAGCATTGTGAACATCATTATCAATCAATGTAGCTTATTAGACCACAGACATATACATGCTGAAATCATTTGAACACCTTGAGATGACTAAGATTGTGCTTAGAGAGAAGAATATTGAAAAGTAGATTCAAAATTTCCCTTTTTAATTTTTTGGTGAGGTTGTTTAAGTAGAACTTATATGACTCTTTTTCTACTTTGGTTGATGAAAAGAAAGTTCTCAATTATTCATTCATGAATGTAATTAGGTTAATTGAATTATTGCATTTGTATTTTCATGTCACCCAGATGTCATTTTGAAAAGTCCCCCAAGAGTATTTCAGAATGGCATCTAAAGAATGATCTAACATCTACTCTGTTGGACCAATTTGTTGAAAAAATCAACTAAAATTACTTTGGAAATTCACATATACAACGTTTTATTGGGTTTCAAGATTTATGACTATAAAGATGAAGCTTTGGAGAAAAAAAGGAAATACTTGTCATTCTCAAAGGAAGGGGTTATTTGTAGGTTTTGTTTTTGTCTTTTTTCTGGAGTAAAGGGGTTGGTCCTGTGATTTCATCAATGGAGGAAGCTTCTGTTGTGAAAACTACCTCCACTGATGCTAATCACACATTTTCAACAAATGTTGTCTTTGGATGTGGATTCCTGGTTACATTTTGTTTCCCATAATTACAGATATTAGGTGTTTCCAGAAGAATGGTACTACGATGCTCTTTTGCTAAAGACCCTAGATATTTGGATCTTAGTCAAGATTCTATACATCATGACTATTTGGCTTAGAAGCACTTATCTTTCCAATCAAAAGGACACGGTCTAGCCATTGACTATTTTAATTGACCCCAATCTAGTGAGATGGCAAATTAATTGTTCTCTTGTGCACTAAAAGGGGATTCGTTCATTAGGAAGTCAAATTAGATGACCACTGAAATCTTTCCCAATTCTAGGATTCTCTGATTCTATGAGACTTGGTTTTCCAAGTCAGGCTAGGAAAATCCAATTATTTAATTAAATATCTGAAGATTTCATTTAGGGCAGTTAAATGTTCTAAAGGTATATTGTTACCTAAGAAAGGTTTTCAGGGTGGTTACGTCAAAGAAAGAAAGACCAGATTTTTGTGGTTTTAAGCTGTTGGTCTCTAATTTATATCTCTTCAGGGCTGAGCAACACCTGGGCCACTCTTTTGACTTTAGCCACACACATATACCTTCCCATTTCCATTTCCTACTCCCCTCTCACCTCAGCCTTTATTTAGATATTTAATGATTCTATAGGGGTCTCCACTACTATAATTAAACAATATCTCAAAAATAAATGATCCCATTGATAGGGGTATTCCATTTAATCAACATAATTATAGCTCCTTGTATGGGAAAAAAAATCATCACTTGGTTCTCAGCCCTCTGGTAATGAACCTCTATGAATGTAGCCAGGCTGATTCTTATATGACAGAGAGTCCTTTCAGAGGCCTATACTTTCCAACTTGGTTACACTTACCAGAGTTTTGACCTCTGCTGATATGGGCTTTGTGAGCTCAGGGGATCACCTCCATGCTATGAAGAGGTAGCAAACAGGGTTTATGTGGACATTAAAGTAACTCTGAATGGCCCCCATTAGAATATAAGTTCCTTGATGACCGGGACTACTTTTTTGCCTTTCTTTGCAACCATAGTGCCTAGCACAGTACCTGGCATATGCTTAGCACTTTTAAAATGCTTACTAAAGCCAATGACCAGATCCCTGGCCCCCAGGACAAGAAGTTTGGGACAGTGTCCCCTGTGCTCCAGTAGGAGAGCTTAACTTTAAAAGCCAGGAAATAGGCAACCAAGATGACCAAGAAGCAAAAACAAACATTGACCATGGAGAATTATTATGGTGACAGGCAAGATCAAAACACAAACTCAGAAGAGGACTATATTGTCAATATACCTACATCCAAAACCTCAAAAGGGGAATATAAATTGGTCTCAAGCACAAAAAGCCTTCTTGGAAGAGCTCAAGAAGGATTTAAGAGAGGTAGAAGAAAAATCGGGGAAAGAAACGAGAGGTATGCAAGAGACAGCCAACGTTTAGAAAGGAAGGACAAAACTTGGCCGAAGAAAACAGCTCCTTAAAAAGTAGAATTGGCCAAATGGAAAGAGAAGTACAGAAGTTAACTGAAAAAAAAATTCCTTAAAAATTAGAATTGAGTCAGTGAAAACTGGGGATTCTATGAGACATCAAGAATCAGTCAAACAAAATCAAAAGGATGAAAAAATAGAAGAAAATGTAAAACACCTTACTGGAAAAACAACTGACTTGGAAAACAGATCCAGAAGAGCTAATTTAAGAATTATTGGTCTACCCGAAAGCCATGATCAAAAAATGAGCCTGGACAGCATCTTTCAAGAAATTATCAAGGAAAACTGCCCTGGGGCCCCAGAGTCAGAGGGTGGAACAGTCATTGAAAGAATCCACTGATCACTTCCTGAAAGAGATCCCAAAGTGAAAACTCCAAGAAATATTGTAGCCAAATTCCAGAATTATCAGGTCAAGGAGAAAATAATGCAAGCTGCCAGAGAGAAGCCATTTAAATGTTATGGAACCACAGTCAGGATTAGACAGCTTGGAATATGATATTCTGGAAGGCAAAGGAGCTTGGATTACAACCAAGGATCAATTACCCAGCAAAACTGAACATAATTTTTCAGGAGAGGGGATGGACATTCAATTAAATAAGGGACTTCCAAATCTTCCTGATGAAAAGACCAGAGCTGAACAGAAAATTCAATCTTCAAATACAAGACTCAAGAGAAGCATAAAAAGGTAAACAGGAAAGAAAAAAGAAAACCTGTTATTCAGTAAGAGAGTAAACCGTTTACATCCCTACATGGGAAGATGATACTTGTAACTCTTGAGACCTGTATCATTATTACAACATTTAGAAGAGGTAAACATAGACAGAGAGTGTGGGAATAAGATGACTTTGATGTGATGATAAAAAAAAATTAATTAGGGGGTGAAAAAAAAGGATTGTATTGGGACAGAAGACAGGAGACAGAAAAGGGTGAATTACATCACATGAAGAGGCACAAAGACCTATTACAGCAGATGGAAAGAAGGGAGGGAGGTGAGCATTGTTTGAACTGTATTCTCACTGGATTTGGCTCAAAGAGGGGATAACATACACATTCATTTGGGTGCAGATATCTATTTTACCCTACAGGAAGCGGGGGGGGAAGGGAAAATAAAAGGGAGGGCAGAATGGAAGGCTGTCTTAGGGAGCAGGGATGGGGAGAAAATTTAAAATGCAAAATCTTGTAAAAGTGAATGTTGAAACCTAAAAATAAATTTTAAAAAATGTTTATTAACTTCATGGAGTTTGGAACTAGATGGCTAGGGACGCAGTTTCCAGGTGATCCCCTGATCTCTATTAAGGAGCTGAGTTGCTGGGACCTCAGTCAAGTAGACTTGGGGTGAAGGATCAAGGAAAGAGGGAAATCTCATGTATTATTCTTTAATTTGTAATGGTTTGTCCAAACTAGATGGTAAATTTCTGGAAAGCAGGACAAAGCCCTCCCAATAGCATGATAACCTAATTCAAGGATTCTACCCACTGAGGCAGTCAACTTGGTGGAGTTAAAAATAGAAAAACAGAAAAGCTAAAGCATCTGTTATTATTAGCATTCTTTCCCCCTTTTTTATACCAAGGAGACCCACCCAAGTATTGCTTACTGTCCACAAAACAACAAACCCATCCTTTCAAGACCTCATTTGCAAACCAGAGTTAGAAAGACTGCCAGTTTAAATGACAAACAAAATGACCTAGGGTTCAACATTGGAGAGTTCTAGAATGCTGTGGCCTTTCTCACTGCCTCTCATGTGAAAAACCTAGGAGCACGCTCTCTCATTTTCAGGTTGGAGAAATACCTTTTTTTGATCAATTCAGCTGAAAGAAAAGACTGTTCTTTCTTTGGCAGTCTGGTACAGTGGGAAAAGCAATGGATTATCAGTGAAAGACCTGGGTTCAAATCCAGACTGCCATTTCCTAGGTGTGCTATCTTGGACAAGGCATTCACTCTCACTGATCCTCAGTTTACTTGCCTGTAAAATAGGACAATAATACATGAATTCTCTAACTCGTGGGATTACTGTAAATAATGAATGGGATAAAGTATATCTATAAAGTAGGGGGGGTAGTACTTAAAACAAACAAACAAAATGTACAAGGTGAGTATTTTATTCCCAGATATGTGAGCCACAAATCTTAGAATTCATCCAAGGTGCCAAAAAGTGAATCTCATCCAAATCCACTGTCTTCCCTGACACTAAATATGGTCAATTCTCTCCAGTGCATCAGACAGAAACATAAAGAGTCACCAAAAACTACATGACTTGGTAAAGCTATGAAATGGCCCAGGTCAAACCTATGAGATACAAGGTTAACATTTAAAGGCAGGCAGATATTGGAGGGGGTTAGGAAGAAGGAAGGACTCCCTTAAACGGTAAGGGAGATGAAGCTGTTGTATCTCTGAATGTTTCTCTTCAGGATTTCCGAGCAGGGACCGAGCACTCGCTCAAAACGAGGACGATCAAGTTTCACACACTTCAGTGGTCCACGGGCCACCACCGTGGCTGCCCGAGGACGGTTGAGCAACAGGGCTATCTCTCCTGAAAAGAGGAAGAAAAAGATGGTCATGGAATTTGAATTTCTCCTTCCAAAAACAAGCCACAAAAGGGTGTGTGTGTGTGTGTGTGTGTGTGTGTGTGTGTGTGTGTATGTGTGTGTATGTATACATATTATGGGCCCAAAAGAGATTGAAGGATAGGTGTCTGCTGGGCAAGAAGCATGCATATTCCTATACAGGCTTTGCATGATGAAGTCATTCAAAAATACTCTGCACACCACACCTTAAGGACATTGTTATTAATTTTTTAAAAAATGAAGCAAGCACATTTAGAAGGTGGGATGGGGAAAATGTCTTTAAATCAAGACAGCAAACACAAATTGCCAAGCATTTGTGTTTGAAATAGAACTTGGTAGTCTCACCAAAGTAATCTGATGGCCCGAGTCTTCCAACCTCCACATACTCCTCATTATCAGACCTGCGCTGAAGAACAGAAGCTGTGCCCTAGGAAATGGTAAAAGGCAAAAGGAGAAAAAACCAAAATGAGTTAAATGTTTCCCTTTTTTATACTACTGAGCCCCAGTGAACCAATTAATGCTAGATTCTTCTTCTTCTTCAGAGACACTTAAGGTTGGGAGAAAAGTAAGCTATTCAGTGGCATGATACAACTGGTTGGATGCAGCTTTCCATATGCTGTGTTTCTCTAGTCATCAAGCTTCCATTTTTATTTCTGGGAACACGTGAACAGTGTATCACAACTGGAAACTTACAAAGTAACACATTTGCCAGGACCTACTGACTTGTGCAGCAAATTGGAAATTTTTCAGAAAAAAATGATTTCTTTCCTTCTGAAAAGGAGTATGTATCTCTTGTCATTAAAACAGCCCTTTCTTCCAGCTGACCTTGTACTAACTCTCAAGGACTGGGAAACCTTCCAGTACCCTCTAGGTCCTCCCAGTATACAGTAGTAGTAGCATGTTTTCAGGGACATATCATCAACTGGCTGATCTGACTTCCCCTCACCATGATCACCTGAAAAGGGGGGGGGTGTAGGGGAGATATTTTTACTGTTAAATTATTAACACTAAGACCGTGGGCTGAATTGACATGGCAGAATAACAATTAAGAAATGCCTTATAAAGCCACCACAAAATACATTACACATTAAAAGGACAACCTTTAGACCCATGCAACCTAGAAAATAGAGCTGATCAAGATATTTTTATTGCTCTCTGGCCCGTCTCTAAAATGGTGCCAAACTTATTAACACCAGCCCTGAAATAATATGTGTGGTCAGATGCAACTCTTCTAGGCTCACCATCTAGAATTCTGGTACAGATATACACTCACAAACTGGAAGTCACCTTAGAGATCATCTAATCCAACCTTTCCTTTTACAGAGAAGGAAACTGAGACTCAGAGAGGGGAACAATTTGCCCAAAGTCAGGGCCAAGATTAGAATCCAGTATAGTGTCATAAAAAATATATTGCCTTATGAATCTAAAGACCATACTATACTCCCTACCCAGAAGCCAGGACAAAAAAAAATGACCACCTGATTATGGCAGGATAAATCTTCTTTGCTCAGTTGTGCATGTGCCCTGTGAAAGGAACAGTGGGCAATAGACTGGAGTATTTGGATTGCCAAGAGTTAACTTGGATCATTGCAAATAAAAAAAAATAATTAGGGGGTCTTGTGGGGCACGGCAAGATGTAATCCCAACTCCACCACAGCTACCAAAGGAGGAGAATATGCTACAAAGAAGAAAGAAAAAGAGCACCTGAAATAGCCAGAAGTTCATGGAAGACAAAATCCAAGGAAGGTGCCAGTGGTAAAACCCATGGCCTCAAATGTCTACATGCAAATGCCCAACATCTAGACAACAAATAAGAGGAGCTGCAGATCCTAAGAATATGGAGATAAACTTGACTTCCCGGGTATCCCTAAGACATGGAAGGATGAAATCCTTGACTGGACCATGGCTCTAGACAGGTATACTTTATTCATAAGAAACTTGATGGGTTAAAGGAAGAAGTGACAGGGAAGCCACTACTATATATTAAGAAGGTCTACTCCTGAGGGGGAAATGAAAGTATGGAAAGAGGATTTAACGAGATGGAGATAAATTAGGTAAAGGTCAATGGAGAGATAAACAGAAATTACTTTGTCATCGGAGTATGCTACATGCCACCTGACAGAAAAAGAAAACAGATGATAACTTTAGGAGACAGATCACAAACCAGGCAAGCCGCAAAAGCCTAGAATGATATAGTCAGTCAGTAAACTAGCATTCATTAAGTGACTACTATTTTCCAGTCACTGCGGTAAATGCTGCAGATGCAGAAAATGGCAAAAAACAAACCAAAAATGCAACAAAAACAGTCCCTGTTCTTAAGGAGCTGCTAGTCTATAAGGATTAATAGAGGATTTCAATGATCAATTATCTAGATGTTTGCTGGGAATCTCTCTGCCGAAAGTAGAGCAGCAAATAGCTTTTTGCTCTGCCTTAGCAATGAATTTTATCCTTCAGAAGATAGAAGAACTGAGAAAAAGAAATTGTATTCTGGACCTGATTCTCACTTAAAGGGGAGAATTGGGATAGAAATCAATCAATCAAATTGAATAAACATTTAGGAAGTGCCCACTACGTGCCACGAACTGCACTAAGCACTGGAGGAAAAAAAAAGAGGCAAAAAAAAATGTGAACTCCAGGGGAAAGTAAGGATTCAGATTAAAGATAAGCAGGATCTCATGGATTAAAATGCTATGCAGGAAGTCAGCTAAGAAGGGATGGACGATGCTCAAGAACGAAACTGTGAAAATACAAAAGGAAGCAATTCCAATGGGGAAAGAAAGGCTTTTTTGAAGATACCCATGTGCATGTACAGGGAACTCACTAATCTACATAAATCTAAAAAGATGGAAGAAGAGCAAGAGCAGAGGTTGAACATCAGGGCATGACATTATCCTACAGAAAGGAAAGAAACATTTATTAATAATTTGCTACATGCTAATCATTTGGGATACATATACAAGCAAAAAAATAGTCCCTTTGTGAGTAAGACAACACACAAAAGGAAGTTGAAAATTGACAAAAGCGGGGAATGAAAATATCCAGCTTTGGGTATGGTTTGAAGTCAAGAAGCCAGGAAGAGGGCCAGGAGGGGAATGAATGCAATCTTGGGCTCCTCCACAAAATGGAGTCCTCAAAAGTCACTCACTAACAGGAAAAGGAGGCAGATTTTACAGAGGGATATTCCAGGTTGAGAAGGGCACAGAGATAGTTGGATTTTCCACGGAAAAGACTCCAGGGCCCTATACAAATAGAGGGGCCCCAGGAGGAATTCATCAGAGTCAGGAATGCTAAAGCTCAGGGTAAGCTGAGGGTGGCAAGGAAAGGTAAGAACAACAAAGGGGTTGTTTTTAATTTTTTTTAAGCTATGTTAGAGAAAACGGAGGATCAAAGAAGGGCTAGAGCTCCTTCTTGAAGTCTATGGAATGGTGATAATGGACGACAGAAGGCAGAAGTGCTCAACTCTATTTTCTCTTGTTTTCTCTGCCAAGGAGAACAACTCTTGTACTAGAGATGATCCAACAAAAATTACTAATAGGGAGCTGATACTTAAGATAAATAAGGGAACTTAGCCTGGTGCCTGGCACATAGTACATGCTTCATAAGTGTTTATTGACTATGACTATGACTATAAAGAGATAGAGAGTACTAGCTTCCCTTGGAGAATCCAAGACACCTGGCCCAGATGACTACATCCTCAGGTAATGAAAGAACTAACAGATATATGATTTCTGAATTATTGTGAGTGACATTCGAAAAACCATGGAAAATAGGAGCAGTACCATGAAATTAGAGGAAAGCAAATGTCCCAACTGAAAAAAAGAAAAAAAGAAAAAGGGAAGAGAAGAGAGTCATCAAACTATCAGCCAGTGAGCTTTACTTTGATTTCTGGGAAAATTCTGAAACAGATAACTAAAGTCAAGTGATGGCTGGCAAACATCTATAAAGGGTAGTAGTGATTACAAAGAACCGCAACAGGTCATACCAATAATGTTGAAAAGAACATGCACACACATAGACACATACATGCAAAAAACTCTCAAAAAGTGATTGTTGCAAAATTATAAAGAAAAGGTCTGGCTTGAAAGAAGTGATGTGAGTGAGAATGCTTAACCAAACCACTCCTTCATGGAAGTAAGAGGTACACAGGCATCACATGTTACACGTATTTTTGGGACTTTTTCAATGTACTGGTTTCTTATACTCATTTTTTCCTCTTCTTTTTGTCTTTAAAAATGTTATTTGTCATATGAGATGGCTTTTCAGAAACTGGAGGGGGAGATACTGCAGAAAACTATGATATAAAAGACAGCAATGCAGACTTATTAAAATTAAATAAAACGTCATGCCAGGTGAACCTCATGTCCTTTTTAGACAAGATCACTGAACTAAGAGATGAGGGGGTGCCGTGAATTACGCTACCTCTACTTTAGTAATGTTTAAAGTATCTTACACTATTTTTGAGGAGAAGATGGAGATATTATGGATAGATCAGAGGAGAACAGTTGGATTCAGGTGGATGGCTAGCTAGACTCAAGAGTAGTTTTTAATGGTTCAATCAATATCAGTGTAGCAGGAGTAGCCTTGTCAGATCTCATCTGGAGTGTTATGGTCAGTTCTGGGCAATGTGGTTTAAGGATAGAGAATATCTTGAAGGAAGGCTACTAAGAGAGTGATGAGATTTGAATCCATCTTATATGAAGACTTGTTGAAGGAATTTGTCATCCTTAGCCTGTAGAAGAGGAGACACATGAGAGCTGTCTTCAAGCATGGGAAGGACTTATCATGGGGAGAAAGGAGTAGCCTTGTTTGGTTTGACACCAGAGGGTAGAACAAGAAGAAATATTTGGAAGTTGCAAAGAGACCAATTTAGGCTCGATGTCAGGAAAAGCTCCCCAATAATTTGTTATTATTTATTTCAGTCATGTGTGAGTCTTTGTGACCCCATTTGGGATTTTCTTGGCAAAGATACTGGAGTGGTTTGCCATTTCCTGCTCCAGCTCATTTTACAGATCAGGAAACTGAGGCAAACAGGGTGAAGTGTCTTGCCCAGGTTTCACACAGCTGTAAGTATCTGAGGCCAGATATGAATTCAGGAAGATGAGTCTTCCTGACTCCAGGCTGGGCAAACCCTGCATTATGGTGCCACCTCACTGCCGCTTCCCTAATAATTACAGCTGTCCAAAAGGAGAATGAGCTTCTTCTAGAGGTGGAGGGCCCTTTCGTTGGATGCCTTCAAGCAGAGACTGTACTTTTCCAGTACACTGTCATGGAGATTCATATTGGGTTGGATTAGATGCCTGTTGATATCCCTTTCAACTCTCAAATTCTGTGATTCAGTGATAAACCTCACCATGTTAACATGGTATCTTTCAGGGAATTAGACCACCATTCATTAAACTGTCTTTAAAGAAAGCTTCTGAATGACAC